GCACCCCAGAAACACAAAACGGTCCCAGAGAGAGCAGTGCAATCCCAGTGTGAGCGTGGACTGGATGGGTGGGATTGATACACAGGCAAGAGCAGCTGAGTCACGCTGGCAGGGGAGAGTGAAGCAGAGTGATCCGGGGCAGAGGAGCACTGCAAAGCTATTCAACTAGGCTGAGAGGAGATTTTATTCTAGTTCTCTACGAAATCTCATCACCAGCCACAGAACCCCAGACTCGAAACAGACTTTAGGCTGAAATCAAACAGACAAGGAAACCAGCCATTCCATTCCCCTGCCGCCCCAGTCAGCACAGTCACCCAAGAGGAACAAGCACATGGAGAAGAAACAGCAAATAGAACCCAGGGAAAACGGATGTGAAACCCAGAGGAGCTGACTGGGAAAGTGACCTTGCTCTCTGCTGAGGGCATCTGCCCTACGATGAAAGCAGCATGCAGCCCAGGCAACCTACAGGACTCTTCAGTGCTCCTGGACAAACAGACAGCCAGAGTCACGGGAAGTGCCTCCTCCCACCTTTGATTACTGTTATGGTTGCAGGGATGCATCTGGTGTCTAGACACCATGGTGATGGGAGGATTAGACAAGCAGTGGGTAGAAGAGAATCATTCAGAAAGGAAGAGCTGGTGAATGAGGGAAGATGAAAATGGTCAAAGATATTCTGACACAAACAGAAACAACTTGTACCCAGCTATGAAGAGAGCCACAGAGAGACAAGCATGGTCTGGCAAGCTCCATGAGCCAGAAGAACTCAGACAGGGTTTCAGGAGGGAGTGCAGGGACAACCCATCTGATCTCAACTGCCTTGCAAGGACAAAGGGGTGACATTGCATTTCCAGCTTCAGACCAGCATTTCTCTGATCACCTAACAAGAAGAAGATTTTCCAATCCAGTCCAGTACAAGGGAGACTTGGCGAAAGGCCAGGAGGCTAGAAGGGCCCAGAGCCCGTCTCCAGTCAAACTGTCGGTGACTGTGAGGGCACCGCACAGAGAGGTATCGCCTACAGATCTGACACGCAGCGCAGTCCTCGCCACCTCACCCAGCTCTGTCACACACCCTTCTCACTCTCACCACTAGCACTCACACCCATCACAGTCATTTAGAGAATCAACAGCAAAATCAAGGACATTATGCACAACGAGCTATGTTAATGTAGCGTTAAGGCTGAGACATTAATCACCAAAAATTAAGACCCTCCATAGGTATTTCCAATGTGCCCATTACCTTAGTATCTTGGCCCTGAATAGAAAGGTAAGAACCCCACTACATTTAGTCTGTAAGAAGGCATCTGCTCTCCTCACTCCTTTATGCAGCTGCTGGTGGCATTCTATTGCTTGTTTGCAGAAATGCAGCTGATTTGTCCTTTCAGTTGCTGCTGCTGAGGAGGAAGGCTTGTGTGAAGAGCTGCTTGCAATGAGCTTTGAACTCCAGTTCTAATAGTCCCACTGTAACTGTAACTTTGCCCCATTGCATTTATGTGCTACTGCAAAAGGGCCTATCATTACAAGGGTCTACAAGACTGGGTAAGGGACACATTAATCAAGAAATAACTAGTATTGTCCAGGGGACAGAAAAGTCTTGTGGCTAGAGCACAGGACAGGGAATCAGGAGACCTGAGTTCTGGTCTTAGCTTTGCCACAGGCTCTCTGTGTGGCCTAAACTTTTCATTGCTGTATGATACTGTCCTACCTCAGAAAGGGTATAGAAGGCTTAATTCATCACTGGTTGTAAAGCACTCAAGACCACCAGAGAAGGACAAAGTATTATTTAATTATTACAATGCCTCTCTGCTCTAACTTTAGTTGCACCTATGGAGCATGTTGCATGATAATGTGAGGAACAGTCTACTACGATGCATAACCAAAAGACAAGGCCACTGTGGGAACCTTAACTCTGCACTTCCTGACAGGGGTGATTAAAATCTCTGACTCTGAGTAACATTAACACTTTCTCAAGGAATTGAGAGAACTTGGACGGTTTGCTCCACTGGCTCATTTGTGCTCACCAAGCGTCACCCACCAACTATCCCATTTCAAACCCAGACACACACACAAGGCAAGTGCAGCCAGGAAGCAGGGACCCAGCTCTTGGGCTCACTTTGCACTACTCAGCTGTAAAAAACCTAAAAACCAATGGAGCTGGTCATTGGCTCAGCCACTTTCTTGCTTCCCTGAGTAGGAACATGCCATGGCAATCCAGCCATCAGGAGGCCAGTGCACCAGCTCAGCACAGGCTAGAGCAGTGGTTCTCAAACTTTTGTGCTGGTGACTCCTTTCACATAGCAAGCCTCTGAGTGCGACTCCCCAATAAATTAAAAACATTTTTTTTATATATTTAACATCATTATAAATGCTGGAGGCAAAGCAGGGTTTGGGGTGGAGGCTGACAGCTTGCAACCCCCCATGTAATAACCTCGCAACCCCCTGAGGGGTCCTGACCCCCAGTTTGAGAACCCCTGGTGTAGAGTGTCAATGCTACACATTTCCAGGAGACTTCAGTGCAGCTGGAGAAAGAAAGACAAGGAGAGCTAAACCCCAAAAGACTGCATGCACAAAAAAAGCCCCTCAAACGAAAAAGCAGTATTATAACCCAGGAACGGCTTTGGCCCTCTGTGATCTAGCCCAAGGCAACAGGCTGCCCTCAGCATCCAGGCCTCCATGCCAACAGAGAAAGGAGCCAGAGCCAGGATACCTCAGAAGGAAGAGGGTTGCATTTGCTGAGCTCTGCTGCCCCCTGGAAGATACGATGTGGTAAACTGGCAGAAGAAACCACACCAAACCTCTAACTAGCCATTTATACGGCGCTACAGGCAAATTACAGGACTTTGCACTTCACTCTCCTTGGTGATGACGATAATCAGCCCAGTAATTTGTCCTTCTCCAGCCTTTTTCATCTCACGGTCTCAGCCAAAGGGCTTTACTAACCTGATGGCCAGCCCCCTCTAAGGCTGGAGTCACTATCCCCATTCTACAGAATGGGAAAGGAAGGCACAGAGAGGGAAGTGACTGGCCCAATGCACACATGGAGGGAGTGCAAAGCTGAGCAGAGTCCCCTGCTCAATAACAACATACAGAACACATGTCCGTGCTAGCATGCATTTCCTGGGGATGACGGCCTCTGTCCACAGAACAAACACTCAGTATGTGGCCTCTCAGCTGAATATGCCAACAAGGGTCCAATGGTGGGGGCTTTATGATGCAGTCAACAGGATACCAGGGAACAGACTCAGGATAATCCTTTTCAGTCACCATTGCCTTGGACTGGATTTGAAGTAGCACCTAGACGAGAAAGGCTCAGGAATCGGAATCTCTTTCCCAATTCCCTGAGCCATATATAACAGAACAGCTATTTTACAGTATTACACACAATCCTGGAGTGAGAGGGCTTTGCCCTCTCCCTATCTCGCTTCCCCACAGATTGGGAGCATGTGGTGAAGTATGGTGCCTCAGGTATGCATGGTCCCAAGCGCACCAGAGTCAGCACAGAGGAGAGAGCACTGCTTAGCTCTGACCTTGCCGAGTGCTAAAGCTGGTGGGGAAGGCAACGAAACAGTTTAGATTAGTCTATAAGAGAGCATCCAAAATCCTGGCACATGTTCCCCTAGGACAGCAGTTGCCTCCCGGTCCCTCCAGTGAACTTGAGCTTCATGTGATCAAGGGCTGAGGATCTCTTTGGTTAGCATTGCCTCACTCTCCTCTGTGCTTGGCACAATCTCATTAGGAGGAGAAACAGCACCACACAGTGGCAAGACAGAGCACTCCTCAACCCCCTTTTAGTCACTATGCGGGAAAACACGAATGAGAATGACAACAACAGAGGAAAGAATGAAGGAACAAAAATAGAAGAGCTTCATACACTGATCCTGGTGTAAGATGTTCATTTCTTAGCGCTCCTCACTTTCACTTCTGTATCTCTGGCAGCAACAGAGAACACAGGCCTTCACTAATGCAGTGGGGTGGGAAAAGCCATTCCCAGGCCTTGTGTGTCAAGCACATGCATCAATCCAAGACTAATAAGAAAAACAGGCCCCCAATCTGTGCTGACATTGCCAGAGAGCTGCATTTCAGCAAGGGCATAGCAACGCCATAAACAGAACGAGGCTTCAGTATTCTTAGTGCAGCTGAAGACAACAAACCAGTTCTAACAATGAAACAATCTTTGAGGAGCTCTTGGACCTGCCCTGTGTGAAGAGCGTGTCTCCCACCCCCAGTCAGGTATCCCCCTAGCAGCTGTCTCCAGAGAGGCTGCTCAGAGTTCTTATGCAAGGTCTCCTGCATGCAAGATATGCCAAGAAAATGTTTGCATTCCTAGAGAAAGGCAAAGCTCCAAGCAGGTGTCCTCCTAACAATTGGCTTGTTCAGCTTACACATTCATGGGCCATATCTGACTAATCGAGTTCATTCAGACTCGCCCTTGCTAGGGACACAGATGGGACCTATGAGAGATGCCTTTGGTTTATTCTTTCCTTTGCAGGAGGAAATGAAAGTATCTGGCTTCCAGCACAATAAACAACACTCATACTACACCTACAACAGAAGATAAATCCCTGGCTTTCACCCTCCCTGAGCACAACTCCGACCAGGTGGCTCTAGGGAAAATGTCCCATTTCCAGGAAAAGTCCCAAAGGCTGGAGGATCCCCAGCAAACCATAGCTCCTCAGCTGCCGACCTCCCCATTTCCCATCGCTTTGTGTCACTTAAATTAAAGCCTCTCAATGGAATTTTTTTGCTGCCTCTTCCATCTGTCTCTTTACAATTCCAGGAACAGCAACATGACCACGTTACCAAAGAATAGATGATAACCACATGCCTTAAACACAAGAAGCACAAGGTCACCAGCTCCTTAGCTTGACCCGGGCACTGCTGGCATAAGAGAAGTCAAAACACTGGAATATTTAGCAACAAGAAAGCAAAACAGATGCAGTGTCATTCAACTACATTCCAAACGTATGACACCAAAGTCAACAGCAGTGTTCCACAGTACTCACATCACTAGGGCTGAGGTTCCCAAGACCATTGTCCTGCTCAGATTCCCTGCCGGATTCATGACCATGGGAGCAGCGGGGGTGGGAGGGATGAATCCAGATCTCCAGCCGAGTGGCGTCATCTCCAACTTGTCGGAATGTGGACTTCTTGCCCGTCCCCCATCGGCTAGGGCTCAGTTCCAGCACCTGATGCTGCTTCTGTTCCATCTGCTCAGCCTGTGCAGACAAGAGACACAGATTCAGAAACCTCAGGGATCATGGCTCAGGAAAAGTAAGTTGTCATTTCATTTACCGGGAAAAGAATCTGTCAGAAGCCAGCTGTTTCCCCAGCTTGCAAAGCACAGCAGCTGCCTACTCTATTGTTTGACTGCTGGTGTTTAGTAACCTCAGCTCTGGTGAAAGATGCTAGATTGAGTGCCCCGGAGTTTGAAAGACTTTATCTAGCCACAAAACACCTACACAGCCAACCTGTCACACCTCTGATCCGGAGCATCCACCTCTGAGGAGAGGAGAGGAGAGGAGCTCAGTCTCCATGGCCCATCTGAACACTTACTTGACTTATTTGATAAACCCACCAACGAGCATGCCAAGTAGTTTGGTGGTGACTGTGATGAGGTGGATTCCTGTCTCACTAGGAACTGGAACAACTTTCAGTCCCTGCTTAGCTAAGATGCCCTTTAACCAGTGACCCAGAGATGAAAAAGCCCCAGAGCTTATCAGTGATCTCTTGAAGCACTCACCGCTCTTTGGAGAGAAACAGGAAAAGAAGCTTCACTTTGGCAGCTGAGTCTACTTTCCACCCTTTCTCAGAACTATGCAAGAGTCAAATCCAGACCCAATAGCCATTTGTCAACCCCCCACCAATCACAAGAACATAAGAATGGCCCTACTGGGTCAGACCAAAGGTCCATCTAGCCCAGTATCCTGTCTACCAACAGTGGCCAGTCCCAGGTGCCCCAGAGGGAATGAACAGAACAGGTCATCATCAAGTGATCCATCCCCTGTCACTCACTCCCAGCTTCTGGCAAACAGAGGCTAGGGTCACCATCCCTGCCCATCCTGGCTAATAGCCATTGATGGACCTATCCTCTATGAATTTATCTAGTTCTTTTTTGTACCCTGTTATGGTCTTGGCCTTCACAACATTCTCTGTGCGTTTTGTGAAGAAATACTTGCTTTTAGTTGTTTTAAACCTGCTGCCTATTAATTTCATTTGGTGACCCCTAGTTCTTGTGTTATGAATAGTAAACAACACTTCCTTATCTATTTTCTCTACACCAATCATAATTTTATAGACCTCAATCATATCTCCCCTTAGCCATCTCTTTTCCAAGCTGAAAAGTCCCAGCCTTATTAATCTCTCCTCATACAGAAGCTGTTCCATACCCCTAACCATTTTAGTTGCCCTTTTCTGAACCTTTTCCAATTCCAATATATCTTTTTTTGAGATGGGGCAACCACATCTGCACACAGTATTCAAGATGTGGGCGTACCATGGATTTATACAGAGGCAACATGATGTTTTCTGTTCTATTATCTATCCCTTTCTTAATTATTCCTCGCATTCTGTTCGCTTTTTTGACGGCCGCTGCACATTGAGTGGATGTTTTCAGAGAACTATCCAAAATGACTCCAAGATCTTTTTCTTGAGTGATAACAGCTCATTTAGACCCCATCATTTTATATGTGTAGTTGGGATTATGCTTTTCAATGTGCATTATTTTGCATTTATCAACATTAAATTTTATCTGCCATTTTGTTGCCCAGTCACCCAGTTTTGAGAGATCCTTTTCAGTCTTAAGTAATTTTGTATCATCTGCAAATTTTGCCACCTCACTGTTTACCCCTTTTTCCAGATCATTTATGAATATGTTGAATAGGACTGGTCCCAGTACAGACCCCTGGGGGACACCACTATTTACCTCTCCCTATTCTGAGAACTGACCATTTATACCTACCCTTTGTTTCCTATCTTTGAAGCAGTTACCAATCCATTAGAGCATCTTCAGCATGCCCCAGTGCAAGAGCAATACACCCCTAGCACTTGGCAGGAAGCACCTGCAGTGTCAGCCAGCCCAGCTCCAGGACATGGCAGGAGGCACCAACAAGGAGGGAGCAGCATCAGGCAGCCCCGCACCAAGACTCACCTTGCGTTTTGTCTCTTCAAACAGGCTCATGAGACTCTCCTTGGCTGTGAGGATGGGGTTGCTGGCAGCCAGGCTGCGCATGTAATAGTACACAGCATCCAGTTTCCTCCTCTGCAGAAACACAACCAGAGACATGTCCCACATCACTCTGGAGCATGCAACCCCAGGCCACCTGTCACCCTGTACCTCTTGGCACACCCACAAGTGCAGATTGTCATTCACAGCTAAAAACAGAGCAGCCACGTCCTGCTTCTAAAGCACATCCCAGATGCCATGGGGCCTTGGACTCCCCCAGGAGAACACATTTACCTGCAGCCACCAGCGCCAAGTCCAAGCCTCCGTGCACCTTGGGGAGTGCAGGTAAAACATCAGACCAAAGGCCACAGGCCCAGTGAACCTGGCACTGAAATGGGCCAGTTTAGTTGGTGACCATAGAGAGTATCGACTGAAAGTCCCAACCTCACTCTGTCCCTCAAACTGCAAGTCTGTCTATGGGATTTGCTTTCCCCTCCATTACCACTGTATCTAAGCACCTCACAATCCTCTCCGCCCCCCTGTGAAGTAGGGAAATGATCTTCTACACATCTTATAAACCAAGGCCCAGAGAGACTAACGGACTTGCCCAGGGTCACACAGAAATTCTGGGATGGAGCTGGGAACTGAACCCAAGACTCCAAGCCCCAAACTAATGCCCTAACTACTGGACTATCCTTCCTCTCAGCATCTTCTTTACTGCAGCGGGGATCAGGGCTATTTAGGTGGGTCATTACTAAAGGGTGCCCCAAAAGGCTTTGAACCTGCCAAGACCCACTCAGGATGTAGAGTTTCTCCTGAAAATTGACAGCCATACAGACACCCGGAGCAAAGCAGAGAACTCAGTGGCTCTGCACGCCGCTCCAGGAGTCAGGGTGGTCCATCAGCAGTTGTCAGGGAAATACATCTCCGAACCCTGCTCTGTGTGACACAGGACGCAATTTTCAACTATTCTGTTTTAACATGGCATCTTTCAGAGCTCATGCATTTCAGCAGATGTTTGGTCACTGATCCCTACGCTCTGGCCTGACACTTCCACTGTCTGCCATCAAATACACTTTTCCCAAAGGCCTCCCTTCCCAGAAGGTTTAACAAACCAGACAGCAGAATCGCCTCACTGGCAAAACCTACCCCAACTGCAGCCCTAAAAAACTACATGCTAACATCCCCAATGAACACGCTGCCCTGTGTCTTTCCCCAGCCCACAGCCACCTGGTTCAGGACAGGACTGTTTAGAATGTGAGCTCACTAGGACAGGGACTGTGTCCTCAGGGGTGGAATCAGGCAGCACAAAGGGTAGCCAGCCAGCCCCCTTCACACACTAAACTCTAGCAGACCCTTGCAGGGTACAGAAATGTTGCACATGTGGCTAGAAAGGTTACTTTGGTTAGGACTATGGGCACCAAATTCAGACTTACACTATAAACTCTGAAAACAAAGCATGCAACTGAGCTGTAACTACCCCAGGCCCAAGAGCTGCAGACAGGCCAAAGACTAGAGCTCCTGCTGCCCATATCTGACTACATGGCCTATGGTGCCCTCATCATTCATAGCACAGCCCCATCATTTGGTGAAAAGCATGGTGCAGGTGCTCCCGCACATACAGCCACCTCCGCAGGAAGGACGTCCACTATCAGCCAAGAGGCCACACCGCTTCTAGTCCCACACGCCCAGAGACGCTCTTACCGTGTAGATAGCCAGCAGAGCCAACTGATTGTACGGACGGCCATTTTTGGGGGCAATGTGCTGAGCCTTCAGATACCAACTGCGTGGGGAGAGAGAGACACAGTAGGTGACTGGCAAGAAACTGCAGAGACCCAGACCATTATTAACAACACAAAGAATACTTCCCTTCATTTGGGGCCCCTTTCATCACTGGCACATCCAAGGAGGGCTGGCCCGGCCCTCTGCCCAGGTGGCAAGGGCCTGTGAGCGCATGTGCAGCCAGCACATCTGCTACAGCCCTGGTAAGCCCCTTTGAGAGCTGTAGTCTCCCGACGGGCACACAGTGGAGAAGGGCCAGCAGATGAAGTATCGTGTGACTGCCTGCTGCAGATTAGGGCAAGGAATGCTCCTTGCTCGCTCTGAAGAAGATGAGGGAAGTGTCTCCCAGGGCACCCAGCAGGAGGATAGGAGGGAGCCAGGTAAGGCTACCCAGTGGAAGCTGAAAAGGGCTCTGCTGGCTGGGACCACGTGTTTTGCATTGTTTTATTCGTTTTGAATCCTTTTGTGATGGTAAAGCTACCCCGGACAAAAGGGCCTGGCCTGAATGGTAGTTTGCCCTTTATTTTATATTCCCTAGCGGGTGTATCTGTTCATCAGTACACACCAGTCTATTCCCCATGCCTCTGACCCAGGGAGAGGGCTGGTCATATGGCGGTGAGCCTCCTAGTCCCCTCCCTCCCTCACCCCATGCAGAAGAGTTCCACAAGAACACCAGGCAGAAAGTTTCCAAAAAAGTCAGAAACCTGCAGTGGCTAAGCTAGTTCCCCTGCTCTGCATATTGTCCCTTATAGACAAGCCCTGCTATGCTTTAGGGCTCTATTCCCTTTGCTCCTCACTGTCAATGCCACATTATCTGCTGCGCACACTGGGCTTTGCCTTGCCTACAGCCCTGATCAGAAGAGGGAATTTATCACAAGCAAAAATAGAGTAACAAGAGGCAACAGGTGCCACCAAGTCATGCTGCAGCCAGAACACATGAATAATGTGAGAACCTCCACTGGTGAGAAGCCGTCAGCAGGAGTTCAGCAGAAAACAAGCCAGCCACACAGACTGCACCGCCATCACTTCAGAGCGCAGCACAGCACAGCTTCCACATTAACACTCCCTGATGGGGGGCAGAATCCATCAGCCAAACAAGCATGCTTCTTAGGGTGGCAGATTAGTCTGTCCAACATTTCCTGCATCCTTTAATCTTGTTGGACAGTAATCAAATGGGACGCATGCAAGGTCTGCATTGGCCACAGGCATAACTGGATGTGAAATGAGGTGATGCCCGTGTAGCTAAGTACGGTAAGAACTCTGCTTAGGGCTGAGGGGGAGGGTACGGTACCTGCGTGCTTTCCCATAGTTTGCTGTGTCGTTCGCTTGCTCCCTGTACCTGCAAATGTCCCCTTGGCAAATCATACACCTCTGGGCACTGATCAGTGCGTACTTCACCTTGAAAAGAAACATTCAATACATGCTATGGAAACTCTGCAGCCATTGCTCATCTGTAGGCGTGCAGCACACAAGGACTCCACGTGCCACCAGAGAGACGGGGGTTGCTGTTTAGCTGGAGTTCTTCTGAAAGGCGCTGCAAGAAACACTTATTTTCTCATGGCACATGTTCAGCATGTGCAGCAACAGCAAAGCTCCCCTACCCACTCCCATCTCCCCTCCCATAAACGCCCTGGAGGAGTCAGGGGAGTGCAGACTCCATGGCTCATTCAGGCCTTGGGCTCTCTGCTGAGACTGCCTATCAGGGCATAGTTGTGATGTGGACACCTACCCACTAAGAAATGGAGCTGGGCTGAGAACACCACTTGCTAGGTGAGCCCACTCATGCTCCACCGCCCAGGGTTGACATGCTACTAGGTCGCATAGAAGTGACACTGCTGTTCTCTCTCTCCCATCATTGACCTGGCCTCAATATAGATACAAAGAGGATATTCAATAAACGAGGCACTAATCATGGTTCTTTCTAACACCTACTCCCCATTCCAGCCCTGGTCTGAATGTTGAGGCAGAACAAAATTCTTCACCTTTGCAAAGAAACATGAGACCAATAAACACATTGGAGCTGTTTAACTCTGAGTTATCAGAACAAGTGAGCAAATATTCCTGAGAACATGCTGTCATCGGTATAAGGAGCCCCCCACTTCTTGATGATGCCATGATAGAGTTTTCATCAGAGAGCTCTCATGTGAGATACCAAGGACATCATCTCCTGGAAGGGAAGCCTACTTACCATCTTCCGCAAGGGCTTGCTGCGAATGGCCATCCCATCCATATAATCCTCCAGTTTGAATTGGTATGACACCTGCAGCTTCTGAAGTAAATTGTCAAAGAAAATAGTGCCCTGCAACAAACAAGCAGACAAATGTGATGTCCCTCAATGATCGTGAGCACAAAACCAAGGTCTGTCACAGCCACAGGTGAAAGAGCCCAGTTCGCTCACAGCCAGCACTGCTGGGTGGAAGGCAGAAGAGAGCTCGCTCCCTGGGGATTTGTTTCTTAAAAAAAAAAAAAAATTACCTTCTTCTAGGATCTGTCATCCAGGGATCTAAAAGCATCTAACAATGACATCTTTGGGAGGCAGATCAGTATTATCTCACGGTACAGGAAGGGAAATTAAAGCCTTGTCTCCGCCAGAAAGGTCCAGTGGTTTAATTAAAGGTGTGATTTAAACCAATGTAATTCAATCAGTAGAAAAGTCTGTGAATGCTCTTATTTAGTTCAGTTTAAACTAGGTTTACTTTGGTTTATTTTAAACTAATTCCTAACTGACTTACACCAAAACAAATCAAGCCTGGTTTAAACCATAATAAACAAGAGGGTCCACACAGCTGTTGCACAGGTTTAAGAACATCAATTTAAAATCACACCTCTAGGCTACCTCTATACTGCACAGTAGGGTATTTGTAGCTCCATGCCACAGTGAAAAGCAGGCTGAGTCCACACTGCAGTGTGTAGCTACACTAGTCCGTGAAACGCTCTGGAAGAGAGGAGACAGTGGGAAAAGACTGCAGCAACATACCCCTGCCAGAGCCTTTCCCTGCTGCTGGAGACTTTTCAGATTGCAGGGAGAGGCTTCAGCAGCAGAAAGCCACCACAGCCTTTCCCCATGGCTGGGAAGATCTCCAGCAGCTCTGTGCGGCATGGACAGGCTTCAGAAGTGGGGAGCTGCTGCCTCCCCCTGCCAGAGCCTTTGCCCAATCCCAGTCTTTTCCGGCAGCAGGGAAAGGCCTTAGCAGTGGGGAGGCAGCCAGACATTACATGGCTAAAAGAGCAGCGGAGACACGGCTTGGGCATGTAGAGAGTGGTGTGGAGTACGTAATCAAGTGCACACCCAGACTCTTCAGGCATGTCTTTACGTGTCTAAGCTGTGTCTCACCGGCTACACTGCTACATATACCTGTGCTCATGGGGCTATATGCGTATGTACACTACACACCGCTGAAAGAAGCATGCAGTGTAGACATACCCTTAGTTAAACTGGCCCTGAAGAAGAGAAGTGATCTGCCAAGGTCATACAGAACTGGACCAGAATGTAGGTGTGCTGACTCACCACAGCCCTGCTCTAACAACTAGAAAACACTTCCTCCCAAAGGTCTAACCAGCCTCAAACAGGTGTTTCTTTTCTTACCTCATCGAGGAGCTGAAGCAGTTTGTTCCGAATTTCCTGCGCATTCTCCCCTAGTGGATCTTTGAGGAGCTGACGGAATTTCTCAATCACCTGATAGAAGGCGTTCTTCCAGAGCAGCTGATCCACATTCTGGTTATCGGAGAACTCAATATCCATGAGGATGCATCGTTCATACAGCTGCAGCATCTCCGCTCTAGAAGGAGACACAGTCAACAGCTGACACAACAGCAACTAAACGGCTCTGCCCCATTGTGCTAGTTTGAGTGCAAACTCAGAGCTGCCAGGGAACATTTGCTGAACTGCCTGCTACTTCCCCATCCAACACAAAAATGAGATGCCAGCAACCTCTCACTGTTCCATTAGACAGCAAATGAATCCCCTCACCAGTACACTCCTGCAGAGAGATCTGAACAGCTGCAGTCACACACTTCTCCCAATGCAAGAGGGTGAGTGGGAAAGGAGCCACTCTCTGTTCCTTCTGGCCTGTCAAAGAGAGAGGGTGCTCCTGCCACAGCCTCACTGCTGGGATCCTCCAGGCAGGAGTGAATCTTGGTACTGAGAGGGGAATGTACAGACTTTCAATGACGATCCAATGCACGGAAGCCCTTCCCACACTGCTGCCTTAGCCCCCAAATACCTGTTCATTCTGAGCACTAAATTTAGCAAGCCATGGAAAGAGATAACTAGAGGGCAGGGAAAGTCCTACCATAGAAAGAAGGGTGCATCAATCTCCCCTCCTCCCAACCAAAAATAAGTCACAAATTCATGACAAAAACAAACAAGTAAACAAGAGACTTTATTCTCTTTGTCTCTATTCCCCCCTACACACTCCATTTCTCTGTGATTAACTGCAACTGGGAATGCTACACCTCCCCAGTTAGACCACATAAAAGGGGGGAAGATGAGAAAGAGACTCTCTGCCACAGAAATCAGGGTCTTCCCCGACATAGCTCTCCACTGGCGAGGGCAGAACTGTTCCCTACATTATGTTCTCTAGAGCTTGAACCATTCCAGCTGTAAATGACTCCACAGCCCTTGGGAGATGATCCCGCTGTCAGAAAGATTGCTCTACATTCAGTCTACATTTCCTTTGCCCATCGTCATCCCACTGCTCCAATTTTACCTTGTTGGACCACCTTAGCTAATTCTGTTCCTTATTAGGTGTACACAGCTCACAAGAACTGGAGAAGGGTTTTGTCACTTAGCCAAGCTACAATATATACTGAGCTGTTTTCACCTCTCCTCACAAACAAGTTCCTCCAGTCCCCTCATTGTCAAAATCTATAAATAGTAACAAAAACCAGTGAGTAAGAGACCCAGGAGGCAGAAAAAGCAGGGTCTCCCCCGGCCACAGACCCCTCCACATGCCCCACAGAGTACAGGCAGGAGTAGCTGTGGCTCTTGGCTACTAACCCAAAGCACTTCCATACAGCCCTCTGAACCACAGAACAGCAGCAACCTTCAGACCAACAGTCCCATTTCCCTCCCCTCCCAAGACTGGTAAACATGAAGCTACAACACTTCAGTCAAGTCAGGAAAGCATGACAACATACAGGTAAAGAGATTCCCAGGGGTGCCTTTGAAAACACTCAGCTGGAAGAATGACGACAGAGTGACCCACGCCATCTCTTCTCCTTGGCTAGGACTCCCAATCAGATCCTGCTCTAGCCGCCGCACTCCCAGGCTACCCATGTACAGTCATTCTCCTTGACACATGACCATTTGTCCCCGCTGATAGCCTACGTACGCTCTCTGTGAAGCACACTGTAACTTGTCATCACACTTCTATTTGCCAGACTGGACTACCATCAAATGTTTGAGATAGTCTTTTCTGCACACAAGTGAGCTGTACAGCTGGGGTGCTTGGCCCAGAAACATGTAATGTAAAAGTGGATGGGAATCTGGGAGGCAGTGACCATGAGTTGGTTGAGTTCAGGATCCTGACACAGGGAAGAAAGGTAAGCAGCAGGATACGGACCCTGGACTTCAGGAAAGCAGACTTCGACTCCCTCAGGGAACGGATGGCCAGGATCCCCTGGGGGACTAACATGAAGGAGAAAGGAGTCCAGGAGAGCTGCCTGTATTTCAAGGAATCCCTGTTGAGGTTACAGGGACAAACCATCCCGATGAGTCGAAAGAATAGTAAATATGGCAGGCGACCAGCTTGGCTTAATGGTGAAATCCTAGCAGATCTTAAACATAAAAAAGAAGCTTACAAGAAGTGGAAGGTTGGACATATGACCAGGGAAGAGTATAAAAATATTGCTCGGGCATGTAGGAATGATATCAGGAGGGCCAAATCGCACCTGGAGCTGCAGCTGGCAAGAGATGTCAAGAGTAACAAGAAGGGTTTCTTCAGGTATGTTGGCAACAAGAAGAAAGCCAAGGAAAGTGTGGGCCCCTTACTGAATGAGGGAGGCAACCTAGTGACAGAGGATGTGGAAAAAGCTAATGTACTCAATGCTTTTTTTGCCTCTGTCTTCACTAACAAGGTCAGCTCCCAGACTGCTGCGCTGGGCATCACAAAATGGGGAAGAGATGGCCAGCCCTCTGTGGAGATAGAGGTGGTTAGGGACTATTTAGAAAAGCTGGACGTGCACAAGTCCATGGGGCCGGACGAGTTGCATCCGAGAGTGCTGAAGGAATTGGCGGCTGTGATTGCAGAGCCATTGGCCATTATCTTTGAAAACTCGTGGCGAACGGGGGAAGTCCCAGATGACTGGAAAAAGGCTAATGTAGTGCCAATCTTTAAAAAAGGGAAGAAGGAGGATTCTGGGAACTACAGGCCAGTCAGCTTCACCTCAGTCCCTGGAAAAATCATGGAGCAGTTCCTCAAAGAATCAATCCTGAAGCACTTGCATGAGAGGAAAGTGATCAGGAACAGCCAGCATGGATTCACCAAGGGAAGGTCATGCCTGACTAATCTAATCGCCTTTTATGATGAGATTACTGGTTCTGTGGATGAAGGGAAAGCAGTGGATGTATTGTTTCTTGACTTTAGCAAAGCTTTTGACACGGTCTCCCACAGTATTCTTGTCAGCAAGTTAAGGAAGTATGGGCTGGATGAATGCACTATAAGCTGGCTAGATTGTCGGGCTCAACGGGTAGTGATCAATGGCTCCATGTCTAGTTGGCAGCCGGTGTCAAGTGGAGTGCCCCAGGCGTCGGTCCTGGGGCCGGTTTTGTTCAATATCTTCATAAATGATCTGGAGGATGGTGTAGATTGCACTCTCAGCAAATTTGCGGATGATACTAAACTGGGAGGAGTGGTAGATACGCTGGAGGGGAGGGATAGGATACAGAAGGACCTAGACAAATTGGAGGATTGGGCCAAAAGAAATCTGATGAGGTTCAATAAGGATAAGTGCAGGGTCCTGCACTTAGGACAGAAGAACCCAATGCACCGCTACAGACTAGGGACCGAATGGCTCGGCAGCAGTTCTGCGGAAAAGGACCTAGGGGTGACAGTGGACGAGAAGCTGGATATGAGTCAGCAGCGTGCCCTTGTTGCCAAGAAGGCCAATGGCATTTTGGGATGTATAAGTAGGGGCATAGCGAGCAGATCGAGGGACGTGATCGTTCCCCTCTATTCGACATTGGTGAGGCCTCATCTGGAGTACTGTGTCCAGTTTTGGGCCCCACACTACAAGAAGGATGTGGATAAATTGGAGAGAGTCCAGCGAAGGGCAACAAAAATGATTAGGGGTCTGGAACACATGACTTATGAGGAGAGGCTGAGGGAGCTGGGATTGTTTAGCCTGCAGAAGAGAAGAATGAGGGGGGGGATTGATAGCTGCTTTCAACTACCTGAAAGGGGGTTCCAAAGAGGATGGCTCTAGACTGTTCTCAATGGTAGCAGATGACAGAACGAGGAGTAATGGTCTCAAGTTGCAGTGGGGGAGGTTTAGATTGGATATTAGGAAAAACTTTTTCACTAAGAGGGTGGTGAAACACTGGAATGCGTTACCTAGGGAGGTGGTAGAATCTCCTTCCTTAGAGGTTTTTAAGGTCAGGCTTGACAAAGCCCTGGCTGGGATGATTTAACTGGGAATTGGTCCTGCTTCGAGCAGGGGGTTGGACTAGATGACCTTCTGGGGTCCCTTCCAACCCTGATATTCTATGATTCTATGTACATATTACGATTAGCATCTTCAGGCCGTTTGACAACAGATAAGGTGTTGCTGCCACTGCTGTTTCAAGGATGGCCCTTTAAGAAGCCCTGGAATATCTAGTGCCGTCTGCAGTAAAACATAGCAAAGTCCTGTCATGTCCCTCCATGGAGCTTGGATTGTGAGAGTCCAAAAAACAGGTAACAGGTCTAGAAATTAATTCACTTGCTGAACCTGCTGCTGTCAGCTATGAAAACAAGTCACCAGAGAAGCCCTGGAAACAAGAAGGTCACTGAGTAAACATGGAAGCTGGAGAGCAGGAGCTGTTGCTGTCATCAAGCTAACTACACACAAGGGTGCCAATTTCATTTCTTCCTCACTATGTGGCAGCATCAGGCCATTCCCACTGGAGGGCACAGAGTTTAACTGTGTCAGCAATGAGAGAATCTACTCAGTTCTAAAACTCCCAGCATTATTACATCATTATATAGCACCAGAATCCCCCAGAAACAATACCAGAAGTGTGGTCCCTGCCCGGAGACGTTCACAATCAAACAGACAGTAAATGAACATAACAGGCTGTCTTGTGGATCAGAATTGGAATGAAAAGCCTGCTGGACAGAAACCAGGGACGCAGTCGTCTTACCAGAATGGCTGAGCACATGTAAGCACACCAGGGCTTGCAGTCGCTCAGCTCCCAGCCACCCCAGGCCAGGAAACACTCCAGCACCAGGAGCCACTCCAGCAGCCCCACTCCTCTCCCCTCCACATAGCAATGAGATTCTCTAACTAAAAGATGCGGAGACTTAGCCGCCAGCCCAGAGAGCTGCTGCCTGTGCCTTTCCAATGTCAGGCCACCTACTCATTTACAAGGCTGCTTCTGCACAGCCAGTGGAACCAAAGGCTCTCCCTGGGTTTTCTTCACTCAGTTACACACAAACCCTTTAGCACAATTGCAGCATGGCTCGTCACAAGCTAGGCAGCCACGTCCGCTTCCCCTCACCATCATGTAGCTGGGCCGTGGCCTGACCACCAGCCCCTCTCAAGCAATTGCCCAAGGACAGATCAAACATTTGAGGGTGGTATTTCTGCAAACATTTACCCAGTGGGTTGATGCTGTAGCTCATCCCCTCCCCCAGCCCAACACAGCATAGCCTGAAGTGAAAGCTTCAAACCTCAGCTGTGCCATCTTCTCAAGACCCTCAGGGCTGATGCGGTCTCTGGAAAGCAGGTTGCTGAGCTGCTGCTCCTGGTTCCCAGCCTCTCGAAGGAGTTTGCTGAGTTCCTGCTGCTGTATGTTCCTCATCTGCTGCTCCATCTCAGGACTCAAAGGGGTAGAGGGGAGGGGGCTGCAGATATACTGCCCTGACTGGCCTGGATATCCGGGGAAGTAAGCTCCTGGGTAAACACTGTTATTGGGGCCCATCTGATATTGCAAAGAGTATCCTCCATAGGGATACTGAGTACCTTGGCCTTTTGGACTGGGGTAATAATAGGGGTTGTCAGAGTTCTGAAATTTGTAGTAGGAGGCCTGGGACTGGCGTGCATCCCCCCAGGAAGTGGGGCTCACTTCATCGTCAGTATCTAGAAAATGAAGCTGTGAGGTCTGGCTCTTCAGAGCAGGTTTTTGGTCCGGGTTGTTTGGATCCCACAACCTGCGCATGGTGCCTCCACGGCTCCTGCCTCTGGGCCCCTTGTTGCCACCACTACCAAGCAGGAGCCTGGGCCCAGACTGAGTAGATTCGGGAGAGCCTGCAGCACTGGCAGAGAGGTCTGTGTTGGCAGGCAGGATGAGAATCCCACGGCCTCTCCCTTGAGGCTCCCTGCCCTTCACCTCCACAGCCTCTATGGAGTCACTTACATTAAAAGACTTTGGAGGCTTTTTCTTGTCTGTCTGCGCCACACAGATGTCTCTGCTCATGGTCTTGTTGTCAAAGGTGACGTGCAGGGCTCCCTTGACCTCCTTCCCATTGCTGCTCCACTCACTCTCACTTTTAGAAGCTCGGCTCTGCTCCAGATGCTTTCTCTCTGAATTTCTGCTGGAGCCATAAGCATCTGTCTCCCCAATTTTGTCATCTTCTAGAGAGTCAGTGGAGGAAGCAGAGAGCTGTTTTTTAGGACGGCTTCTCTCTTTGGCCCGCTCCTGTCGCTTCTTTGCCCCATCAGCCAGTGGGGGTCCATCTGTGCTGTTGTTGCTCCCTGCTGAGCTTGTGCTACAGGTGCGGTATCGGTTCCTCCGTTTGTCAGAGCGGGAGTATCGCTTTGTAGATCCCAGCTTCCCCTGGATCAAGTCATCGCTTGATTTCCTGACCCTGTCAGCCCGCTCTACCCGCCTTCCTTTTTCCCCCCTTGTGGTTTTCATTCCCTCACTAGTCAGGCTTCCCTCCCTCTCCTCTTTGTTCAGTTTAGTTCTACTGCTGTTGCTGCCTTTCCCAATGTCCCTTTCAGTCTCTTCATCTCCTTCAACTCTCAGCTGCTCCATCTTACTGACGATTTCAGCATTGGCTGGCTGGCTGGCTGCGTCCTTGGCAACAGTCTGCAGGCGTTTCCCAGGCTGATAGATCTGCTGGTCTGGCTTCTTGGTTCTCCTGATGATCCTGGGACACCAGTCATCCGGGACAGAGTGTTTATCCAAATTCTCTTGGCTCTGAAAAATAGCTTTACTTTCCATCTCTCCATTTCCCTGGGAGGGACCATTCTGCTTCTGGCTGTCACTTTTGCTGAGATTTCCAGTGACCTGAGATCCCCCTCCAGTAACAGCAGGATCTTTGTCACTAGCAGTTTCATCCTTGGATTCCTCAGATCTGGTCCCTTCATACGCTGAGGCTTCCTGTTTTAATAGTGTGTGTTTGTTCCTAAGCCGGGAGAGACCAGGCTTGTAGATTTCAAGGTCTGGACGCCGGTTATCTTTACGATGCCTGGGCTCCTTCAGTTCCTTCATGTTCTCTGTAAAGAAGAGATAAAGAGGCGGGAGTTATTCCAGTTATGGAACAGCAAAGCAGGGCAAGAGTTAGAGACACAGAAACAATGGAGAAATGTGAAGTGTCTTTAATGGTCACAAGAGGGGCAGAAGTTTTAAAACTGAGACTATCAGAGCTGAAGTTCTTTATCTGGGTATTATGTGAAATCACACAGAGCAGGAGTGAGAAATGCAAGAGCAGGAGGCAGAGAGGAAGCCTATGATTCTGAGCCTATGGCCTTATTTCAGGATACATATTATTACTATTTGTTAAGCACCTCCAATGTAACCCTCACTGTACAGAACACATGTACAAAACAGCCCTAGCCTCAAGCAGCTTACAAGCTAAGAAACAGACAAGATGCACTCTGCTCTGAGTCTCCCAGTGTAAGCTAAGGGTTTTGTTGCTGCTGTTTTCCTGATTTCACTCTCTGCTCCCCTGATCTGCCTGTTGGTGGTGCATGTGCCTTCCCTCTGCAGCTCTTGCCATTTGGAACAGCTCCCTGTACATTCCCTGCCTCATTTACATACATCTCATTTCAACTCAGCACTGAAGACTTCTTTTCTCCCGGGCCCACAACTCATTAAATTTCTCTTTCTGTAATGATATTAATACTAGAAGTACTTAAAAGAACACAACTGGAATGAAAAAGACCATGTAAAATAATATCATCACATGCAGCAGCATTATACATAATTCTTATTAAATCTGTATCTTCAGCTGGGGTTTTACACTATATTATAGAATGGTTTCTACTTCATACCAACTGAAAACCACCACTAAGACGGACTCAGTAGTACCTAGCAGAGGGAAATCACTCAAAGCAAGAACACACCTCCCTCTGAAGCAAACATACTGGAGATTATAGATCCTCTCTCACTAATCTACTCCCAGCAGCCTAACCAATTCAGTGACAGTAACAAACAAAGGCACCTCAGAGGCAGTTCTGAGGTTTCTGTCATTAGAACACTGGATAAACTGCATCCATGACGACAGAGCACTGATGGGAGAAGCTTCTGAAATGGGAGTGGTGAGGGTGGACTTTTTCTGAAGATACTTGTCCTCTAGATATTTGGGCACAGTTTGTCTAGCTGCATGAAACTTAATTTTAGAATTTCAGCTTCCCAGTTTCTCCTTGGAGGATTTTATCCTCCACATAACCTAACAGAAGTAACTTGATTGCTGTGACACCACCATAAACCCCTATGGTATTAAATTGCTTTCACTATAACCAAACAACAGTGCTGTCAGAGACCAGAGAGAAATGAGGATGTCAAGGTAGCAGCTGCACTTCTAGATTAGTCTCAAATGAATCTCAATGACACCCTGACTAATAATTTGAGGATAGATAGGAAGAGATGCAGCAGTCCTGACTCTCACTGCTTTAACTTTTGACAGCCGCAATACCTGAGATAACTTACAGGAAACTACAGCATATACTCATAATCAACAAGTAAGCTAGTGCAGCTTTCTATGCTGTGGGAGCCCACTGCCAAATCTCCATCACAAGCAGCCTTGAATAAACAACAATTCGGCATCTGTGAAGCCAACATTCACAGTCTCAAAGCTCCACTCTGTTCACAATAGCTCAGAGCAAATTTCTGTAACCTGGACACACACTTGCCTTGCTGATCACATTAGCTGGCTCAAAACCAGTCAAGAAATTCAGAGGGAAACGACTTGTGGGCCACCATTCCATCCAACTAACAACAACTAATTTGTATATAGCACTTTTCATCAGTAGATCCCAAAGTGCTTTACAGAGGAGTGAAACTACAGACAATTTTTGAGATGCTTTGGACATTACAGGCTACACAGAAAGCATCGGCCAAGACAGAATCATTCAAGTCCTGCTACACCTGCTACCTGACAATAGCAAAAGGCAAGAATAGTTGCAGGGCAGCAAACAGAGAAGGGCATCCTGAAAGCAGTGATGATGGGATGGATTGCCTTTAGTACTCCTTTGCAATTATCTAGCCGTTTTCATCTTCAAAGCACTGTAAAAACCTTAATTAACTAACTTTCACAACCCACTCCCTCTTCACCTGTTCCCATGAGTCAGGTAAGACCTAACCCCATTATGCAGATGGGGAAGCAAATGGCAGAGAGGGCGACTGGAATTCTTGGCATTCGTTCATTTTATCTGCAGTGCTATACTCAGAGACCTCTGGGAAACTGCTGTGTTAAGGGGCAGCCATGCAGCAAAATGAAATGGATGATGAACCACACCAGCAATGAAATGGAGATCAGCAGTGATGAGCACAACACAAGAACCCAGAAAAGAAGATGAGAACACAGGCCAAGAGCTTTGCAGAACCTAACTGGTCACCACTGGCCAGCAGCACAGCCTAAGCAAGCTCTGCACTTAGAAGCAAGCAGAAGGAACTTAAGAGGATGCAAATATACCTCTGTTAGGACATGCAGCTTTCAGAATATCATACATGGATTACTGACTTTAACTTCTCATGAACACAGCGTTTCTCAAACAGGGAGTGCACAGACTCTTACAGGCAAGTTGTGGGGCTACTTCTGGCCCAAATAGTGAAAGCGTCTATCAGTTTTCTCACATTTAGGGCTAGTTGCAGCCCAATACAGACTCTTAAAATTCAGCATGTACAGAGGTTTTCTAGACTCGATCATCAAGTAAACTCAAGACCCCTCTCTGTGCCCTACATATTTCAATGCTGGGTGTTCCTTTGGTGCAAACCGAACGCCAGCAATGGAGAGGTGGCCCTCACATAGGACGACAAAACCAAACTGCAAAAAGAACTGGAGAAGTTAGAGCACAGAGAGCTGCAGTCCAGTAGCCCCGCAGTGGAAATAAACAACTCAGATCCAGAACAAGGCTCTGCAACTAACCAGCTGCACCCAGCACAGTAAGGACACTTTATTTTGAGAGGACGTGATCAATGTAAAATCACACTTCTGTACGAAACTGTTTATTATTGTTACACGTAGCACCTCACGCTCCTGAAACAGAAAGTGGTGGTGGGGGGGGGGGGAATTCTTCTGTGTTTTCAGTCTGTTTACTTTGCACACCCTGGGTTCGCTCCGTGCCAGTGCCGTGGAGAGTCAGTTCACGCCCCCGGCTGGGCTGCGTCTCCCAGCGACCCCAAGGGGAGAGAAGCGGCCCGAACGGCACGGGGCTGTGAAGGCCCCGCAGCGGGCAGGGGCCCGGGGCCAGGTGCGGAACCCCACAGGACTGCGCCGGGCAGACCCGCTCCGGGGCGCCAACGGCCCGAGCGCCGCCCGGAGCTCGCGGGAGCAGCGCGCGGCGCCCCTGCCCCGGCTCCCCCCGCGCGCCAGGCAGGCGGGCGCGGGCCGCGGCGGCTCCCTCGCGGCGGCGGGGGCCGGGAAGCGGCTGGGCTCGGGGGCCGCGGCGGGGCCCGGGCCGGGCTCTCCTGGGGAAGGGGAGGGGCCCAGCCCGCCGGGCCCTGAAGTCTCACCTCGGCCCCCGCCCCCCGGGGCCCTCCCCAACGCCGCCAGGCTCCCCCTCAGCTCCGCCGCCGAGATGCGCACCCGCTCCAGCTCCGCCGCCATCTTCGCTCCCGCCCCGCCCCCTCCGGTCCCCCTCCCGAGGGAGGGGACGGACGGCAGCCGGGCGGGCCCAAACGCTCCGCTCCTACCGCGCGTGCGCCAAACCGGCCGGCTCCCGCGGCCCCCGCGCCGCCCGGACACGCCCCCTCCGCTCACGTGCCGCGGCACGGAGCCAGCCCGACGGGGGCTCGGAGGGCCCAGGCCAGGTGAGCGCGGCCCCGCGCGGCGGCGGCGCTGCCCTTCCCCTGGGGGCCGGCACGGGCGCATAACGCCCAGCGGAGCTCAGCCCGCGCCCCGGCCGGTGCAAACGGCGCCCCGGGAAGGCGGCGCCCCCTCCCGCTGGGGGGGCCTCACCTTGCCGCGGGCAGGGCCGCGCAGACCGGGCACCCCGGGAGTCCCCCCGGGCTCTGGGCACCGCTGCCCCGCGCCGGAGGGTCAGTCCTGTTCCGTCCCTCGGGGGTTCCTCTTCCCCGGGGCTCCGGGCGGGCCCCGCGCCGCGCGCAGTGAACGGGGAGCCCGGTTCCCTCTCCCACCGCACGGACAGGAATACTCACCCCGGGCGGCCGCCGCTCGAACGGCGCTGGCGCTGCGGGCTCCCGGCAGGGGGAGCGGCGCTAGGACGGGAACCGGGGGCGCCTCCCCGGGGCGCCTCCCCGCGCACGGGCCGTCGCAGCAGCTGGCTCCTTTCGCCCCGGCCTGAGACGCACGCCGCTCTGGAGCTGGCTCGGGCCCCAGCCCTGCGCTGCCCTGACCGCCATCCCAGCCAAACAGCAAAACTGCTTTCGTGCCCTTTCCTTTTACATTTCGAATTTGTCAAGTGTTTAAAAATTAACCCACCCTGTGATTTGGGCCCAAAACAGTGTCCAGACACAGCGAAGGAGACACTGATCCAGGGTGGAGCATTGGGGCCCGCTCTGCTCTTCAGCGCTCCTTCCATGACTTAGAGCCTGGTGAGGCAGGCTGTCTCCAGCAGCAGAATGTTTTCCAGCCTCTCTCTCCCCCTCCTCAGCTTACGGACCATGTCCTCTCCGTACTGCATCTCACTGGGGGATGTTGAAGCTGCACAGACAAGTCTCCATGGCCTTATCCACCTCACCCCTATCCTAACCAGTTCCAGCCTAGACGAGTTAGCTGGCCACAGACTCTTTTTCAAGTGTGAGCTCTTCCAGAAGACTGGCTCCTTTAAGGTAAAGCACACATTGCAAGGGGAGGAGCAGCTTGACCCACCCTCCTGCCTAGCTCTGCTAGCTCAGAGGAAAGGGTACAGGGTCTGACCGGGGGTTGAACTTGAGAAGCAATCGCTCAAATACAAGACTGTACACCATTAGCATCTGTACAAAGGGAGAATCACTGATTTCAGCACTTAAATGCTGCAGAACACACTGTATGAGTCCAATAGCAGGTTGGCCCTCAGGCCCTGCCAGCTTTCGACACAATTCAAGTCTTGTCCCAAAGCAGTAGGAACTAGAAATTACCATTCCTCTATCCCCAGGAAACAAGGTTGGTGGCCCCTGTCCAGTTCCTACTGGACAGCCACAGCCCGAGGAAGAAATGGTTAAATGGACCATTATAGACTATGAGGGCTCCTGCAGTTTAGGGGCTAAGGGGGAGAAAGGGAAGCTGGCATTAGTGTTGTACTGGTTCTAGGGATCCACATCTACATTCAGCTCCACAGCTGCCATCTTGCTGGGGAAAGGATCAATTAAAAAGGTTGCAGGGGTGCAGCTTCTCCACCTCTCCTTGCTGCCCTCAGCTAGGTCACAACAGCTGGGATCTACAGCAGCAGCAAGCCCCTGCCCCATCTGAACATGGAGAGCTGAGGCTTTGCCTCCTTTGCAGGTTCACTCAACCTGTGCTCTCTCCCCAGATCCGTGGTGCACTGAATGCCGTCAGAAGTCTGGTTCGTGCAGCCCAGGGTGACAGAGAGCAGCCCAAGGCTGTTGTGACACAGTAGTGGGAACCATGGCCAAGCTCTTGCCTTTGCAGCTAAAGTGGAAGGTAACAGGGAGCCAATTTCTTAGCCATGTGCTACTATGTGGGGCTGGGGGCTCCTCACTTGCCCCTTCATTCCTCCAGAAGCAAATTTGCTGCTGAGAACAATAGGGGAAGGGCAGCCCTTTGCTCGGGTCTTTCAGCTGCCAGCTGAGGCTTTGCCAGTGAGGTGGCTGGTTATCCCAGGGGAAGCCTGCCAGTGCTCAGGAACAGAAAGTCAAGGGGTAGCTCTGGCTCCCAGCACACAGCTGGCTCAGCATCCATCCTTGCAGCTCAGTTCCTGCCTGACTTAATTACACATGGGGATTCCTTGGAGTAAGTGAGCCCCAGGTCTTTGCCACACAGCCGGATGGGTTAATCCCAGACAGGACTGTTAGCCAGCAGGGCCGAGTGTTTCCCTGGTTGGATGCATCCACAGGCTAGTGCCGGTAGAGCCGGAACTCCCACTGCAGCAGCACGGGGTGCAGCTGAGCTCTAATGCAGTTTCACATCTCTCTCCCGCACACACCACCATGGCGAAATTACATGCAAAGGGCCTGGTCACAGCTGAGCTGGTTTCTCTCACGGGGGTATCCTCTGCTCCATGTCTGTCTGATCCACTCAGCAGAGCAGGGGATGTGCCCCTGGGACTAGGCCCCCATCATTGTCCAGGCCTTTCATGCCACAGGGGTTCCTGCCTATGCCGTGGTGCCTTGCACAGCGCCACTCTGTAAGAAAGCTGCCATCTGCTCCTATGGAGCCAGGCTGATACTATGTGAGCCCACTGATGAGGTAATGGGGAGGGAGGCAGGCAGGCAGGCAGCACGGCAGGGTACTTGGCTTTGTTCACACACATGGGCATTAACAATTTTTGTGCCTGGTCTGTCTCCCCAGTCGCGAGTGGAGGTGGCAGCTCAGACAGTTCAGGAGAAGGAAGGCGTGCTGTGATTGCAGGCCAAGGCACTATAGCACTGGAGGTGCTGCAGCAGGTGAGGAGACTCTCCTGGCACTATTCAAATTAGGCAGGAAAGAACAAGCAGGGGGACACATCTGCTCCTGCTGCAGAGAGGTCAGGGCAGCCAGAGTTAGTCCATCAGGACTTAGAGCCAGCCTCCAGGAAGCGAGCTGCTTTGGAGCACGTCTGTGGTTCTAAGAGCAGTCACAAGACTGAGAGTTTGTCTCTTGGTCTCTGTTGTGCTAGGTACCCCAGATAACTGCACTGGTGGTTCCCGTTGGAGGAGGAGGGATGGTTGCTGGAATAGCAGTGGCTGTCAAGGTAAGAAATACCCTATTTTGGCTGCATCTCTCCTCAGGAATGGGGGGGGAGGGGGGCTGGGGAGTTACTGGTGCCCCAAAATGAGCATTTCACCTTGTGAGGAGGAAGTTCTCTGATTCACACAGCATCTGAACTCAAGAGTCTCTCACGCAGCTTGGATTTGTAGTTGACCCTTTCTCTCTTCCTGTGTTTGGATCTGGAGGTACTGTAGAGTTTAACACTTCCCCCTGCAGGTCCACGTTGCAATGAAAGCAACCAGGACAGATCACAGCAGCCGACACACACTCTAGTTTACGCGTCATGCCACAATACAGAATAAAATGGTGCCACTTCCAGCAGGAACAGAGGCAGATGGGAGATACTGGCAGCCTGAGGAGAGCTAGGCACTCAGTCATCCTTCAGGGTTGAGTTGCAATGTCAAGTAAAGGAGGACTTGTGGCACCTTAGAGACTAACAAATTTATTAGAGCATGAGCTTTCATGAGCTACAGCTCACTTCATCGGATGCATGCAGTGGAAAATACAGTACTGGGATTTTATATACACAGAAAACATGAAACAATGGGTGTTACCATACACACTTTAAAGAGAGTGATCAGGTCAGGTGTGCTATTACCAGCAGGAGAGGGAAAAAAACCTTTGGAGTGATAATCAAGGTGGGCCATTTCCAGCAGTTGACAAGAACATGTGAAGAACAGTGGGGGGGGAGAAGGAAATAGTTTTACTTTGTGTAATGACCCATCCACTCCCAGTCTTTATTCAAGCCTAATTTGATAGTGTCCAGTTTGCAAATTAATTCCAATTCAGTCTCTCATTGGAGTCTGTTTTTGAAGTTTTTTTGTTGAAATATTGCCACTTTTAGGTGGCCAGAGAGATTGAAGTATTCTCCGGCTGGTTTTTGAATGTTATAATTCTTGATGTATAATTTGTGTCCATTTATTCTTTTACGTCTTCTTGTGTCCAGTTTGGCCAATGTACATGGCAGAGGGGTATTGCTGGCCTCTGATAGTGTGACTGATGTGATTAGGCCCTATGATGGTGTCCCCTGAATAGATATGTAAGGAGATGAGTTGCCCTTAGGAGAAGCTCATTCTCTGCCCACAGTAGACAAATGAACCTGCTCCTGGCTCAACAGGGGTTGCTCTCTGATTCTTCACACCAACAAATGCCAGACACTCTGCTGGGAAGATTGCCACAGCTGGCATAAGACCTGCCCCAGCCAAAACTGCTATGGAACATGCGAGTTAAGGCACAATGAGGTGGCCTGGCCTGCCATGTTCACCAGCAAGTTCCAAACTCATCCCCTGCTCTTCCTTTGGGCAGGCTTTGAGACCAGACATAAGAGTGTATGCTGCTGAACCCTGCAATGCAGATGACTGCTATAGATCAAAGGTGACAGGGGAACTCACCCCCAACCTCCACCCCCCAGACACCATAGCAGATGGTGTTAAAACTAGCATTGGACCGAACACCTGGCCTATCATTAAGGATTTGGTGGACGATGTGCTGACAGTCACAGAGGAGGAGATCCAGGTAAGCATTAACTCTAAGCACCCTCTTGCTGTAACAGTCCAGCCGCCTCCATTCACACATTTTGTCCTCCCTTCACCACCTTGCCCTCCCATGCTGTAGCATGAAGCAGGAGTTGTGATCCCCGGCAAAGATGATCGCTCTCTGCCATGCTGGCTGAGAGCAGGCTGGGCCTCCTCCATTTCCTCTGATGGCATTCTCCAGGTCCACAGCAGCAGCATGTGGCAGGAGCAGCCCGAGCTGTATTAACAGATGCCCACAGCTGGGGCCTATGCTTCCCCAAAGCATCGCCCACCAGTGAAAAGGGACACATCTCATGCGCAGTCCCGCACTGTAAGCAGTCGGGTGCACCGAAGGCTTAGAACAATATTTACCAGCACAGTAACAGCTCTTCTCTCTGCCCCAACAGCAAGCAATGCAGCTGGTGTGGGAGAGGATGAAGTTGCTTATTGAGCCAACAGCTGGAGTGGGAGTGGCTGCTGTGCTCTCTGAGCAGTTTCGCTCAGTCTCCCAGGAAATGAAGAATATTTACATTGTGTTGTGTGGAGGAAATGTAGACCTAGGCTCCCTGGCCTGGCTCAGCCCACCTGGCAAAGAGGCAAATGGAAACTGATCAGCCTTTAGAGCCACTTCTCCCATTAGTGAGAAACTGGGCTGTTTCTTAGAGCCTGGTGCTGTGTTTACACAGTGGGGCCTCTGGGACTTACTGTAATAATAAAAATCACTACATGAGCAAAAAGGATTGTGATTTTTAAGGAATTGGGGAAACCTTGTAATTTCAAAGAGCAGCCCGTGCTGCTCTTAACCTGGTATAGGTGGGTGGAGCCAAAGAGCTGGTCTCACAGCCTCCCTAAGGCAGGCAGTTGGAATGAGTTTCATGCAGCTAGCCCCCTGCCTGGGGCCCAAGCCCAGGCTTCTTGGAGAGAGCACTTTTGTGTTCAGCAGCAGGAGATAATGGTAAAGTCTGACCCCCATGCTCTCATGTTACCGACACTTTTGCACAATATGAAAACCATTACCAATGAAATTAATAGGCATCAGGTTTAATATGAACAAGGGGAAGTACTTTTTCCACACAATGGCAAGTTAAACTGTGGAACTCATTGCTATGGGATGTTGATGGCCAAAAGTATAACTGGGTTCAGTGAAGAAAGAGATAAAGGATAGATCCATCAATGGCTATTAGCCAAAATAGTCAGAGATGCAACCCTAAACTTCTGACTGTCAGGAAGGGAAGACGGGTGGATCACTCCCAACTACCCAGTTCTGTACACTCCCCCCTGTTGGAGACAGGATGCTGGGCTAGATGGACCATTGGTTTGACCCCGTATGGCAGCCTATGTTTTTATGTTCTCAAGTTACATACAAATGGCAGGGGAGAGGGTGAAACCCAGAATCCCTCATGCAGCTTCAGGAGCTTCTAGACTGGCAGGAGGCAGTGAACAAAGCCTGCATGCCCAATGTGCACAATAACTCGATCCAGCCACCCCCCCCATGCAAGAAATATGGGCACTTGGACTTTAACTGAAGTGAAGATATATTTACCATTGAAATAAACTGATATTGGAGGCCAGGGCTTAGACAGTTGTGAGCCGGATCTAATGCTGCAGCAGCCAGCATGAATGCTGGACACAAACCCTAGGAAAGGCACAGCACTAACAAGTTCAGGGCAGTTCTCCCTACTTCTCACAAGGCTTGGAACAGCCAAGCACCCACATGGGGTGCAGGAGATGCGAACCACAGCAGCCATGCTAGGCCTGGCGCGTTATTCCATCTCCACCTCCTGCATGGGGAGCTGCTGTTCGCTTCTCACCCATGGTACTGGCTCCGGCACATACGGGTCGTAAGTCCATTTAGGGAAGACGCGCTTGTACAGATTCAGCAGCACAGTGTCCTGGGATTTCAGCTGCCCATCAAAATGACACTTCATGTGACCATGAGTCCCTAGGCAAAGCAAGCAACAGAAGCTGTTAGCTGCATTTTGCCTGTTCCTCTTCCCCAGCCCAGGGAAGAGCAGACAGTGTTTGAATATGGATGCAGGGACAGTGAGTGTGGCCCAGCACCATGAGAGGAAAGCAATGGAATGCTGCATGTCAAACCTGGCCTACCTAGCGGCTCTGTGATGTGTCCTCTGCGGCCCCACTTGGTCCTCAGCTCCACCGGCTTAAACCACAGCACATCCTCTGCCGATCAAAGACAAGACACACATGAGAAACAGGCCACAGTAGTCTCCAGCTCCCCAGCACCCTGCCACATAGCTAGCAAACCAGGCAGGACTAGAGCAGCTGTGAGTATGGCAAGCTGCTGCACACTGGCCAAAGAGCTACAGTGTGCATTCACCTATAGGCACGGCCTGAAGAAACCAAATCGCTGCTACATGGATGGACGTACTCGGAACATGAGAGCATCTCTGCAGGGCAGGGGACACTTGCTGAGCTATCTGGGTCACGTCAACACGTATGTCAGAATGTTCACACTGAGCCCAGCTCTGCACTTCCAAGTCTCAAAGGCTCTGGTTATTGGAAATCATGACACTTTCCTATGGAACCGCAGGGTCTCCAGAGTCACACAGGACCCGCTGTACCATCCCGCCGCGCCCCCCCCCCGCCCCTTTGCCCCACACACACCATGTACCTCTGTTAAAGAACATGTACCGCACTACAGCCGTCTTGCTGAAGATTTTGAAAGGGTGACCACTGAGCACCAGCCGCTTGATGAGGATTCTGTCTGGATCCACTGAGAGCAGAAAGCCTGTGGCAATGAGGTCGTGCATTCCTGTAGAGCAGAACTGACATGAATGCCACTCCTCAATGGGTCCTAGAGCAGGGCAGTCCCCACAGCAAGAATAAGGACAGGGCCATTACTCCAGAGACTGAGGGAGAGCAGATAGGCAAGTTAACCCTCTCAGAACCCTTGACAGATGATTAAGGCACGACAGATGCGTGGCAGCATTGGAGAATGGGACCCAGATCCATCAGTGGAAGCTGGAAACCTCTGCTGCTAGAATTAGCTTTCATTTCTCATTCAGTCACCCCCTCAGCGCTCACTGACTTACCGTTACTCCTTTGTTTAAACAGTAGCACCGAGGCAGGAGGGAAAGTGATGGGAGCATAAACAGTCACCACCAGGGCTGCATCAGGCCGCAGGAAACGCTCCAACTTGTGCTTATCAGCTAGAAGAGAGAAAGCACCAAGTAAAACTCAGTTACCAGCCAGTGCCCTGCAGGGGAGCTCCAGGACCCAACACCAACAAGCAGCAGGCCAGCCACAATGCACACTAATTCGGACTCTTCAGATCCATCCCCTCCCTCCTTCTGCTCAGCCTTGGAAGCACCCTCAGCAGCACGGGGTTGTGGGTCACACGCAGCCCCCCTCCCTCCACCATCACAAAAGGCTGTTGAGAGCCAACCCCTTGGAAAAGGAGATCACCAATTCAAACTATAGAGCCTCGCCCAATCCCAAGCAAGGATGAGCCCTACCAGTACCGCTTCCTCACAGTCCCAGGTAACCATATGCTGCCCAGGCCAATCCATCCCCCTCCAACAAATGGACTCAATTCCTTTCCCCTTGAAGCCGACAGCCAAGATATGCAAGTCCTCAGAGTCCCTTCAGCCAACCCAGGTTTCCCACCAGAGACCCCAGCCAGCAAGGGGTCTGCACAGAAAGGGAGCAAAGGGCCCCACTCTCTATATGCAGTTTGTCCACCAGTGGGTCCTACACCCACCCGAGCTATGCTGGGAGTACAGAGGGGAGGCACGGAAGCGCCTGAACCCACAGTGGAAGATCAACTCCTCCTTGGCTTTCACTGTCTCATTGTTGCCCAGGTTCCGCCTCACCACAAAGTTCAGCACAGACATCTGCAGAGAGAGGGAGAAAGGCAATTCTGAGGGGCCAAGCTCACCTGGAACAGGATAGTAGCGAGGCTGAAAGTCACGGATGATACAGAACAACTCCGCAAGCCAGATGTCTTCAGTGTCTCAACAGCTCACAGCCCTGGTGCTTCAGCCAAAAGGCTGCCATATCTTCCTTTTATGCCAGAGAATCCCCATCCCCACCAGAGAAGCCTCAGAGCCATAAAGGGTTTATCAGCAAAACTTCAGCCAGGTTCAGACATTCTGGCTTAAACTATCATGGCCATCTGCATGCTATTATGACTCCCAGAACCTGCAGAAACAGCTTCAACCCCAACCCGCACAAGAAGTTTTGAACTGGATTCCTTGTACACCTAGCAAAGGCCCCAGGAAGGCCAGGAGAACACCAAGCCTGTATCAGCAAGAGGGGAAAGCTGCGTGCAAGAGGCACAGTGGCTTTCCAGCTCTTCTGGATGTTGGCAGGTTACAGCCTGTGGCATACTCACCTTCTGCTCATGGGGAAGCAGTGAGAATAGGACCAGAGGCAGCCCCTGCCTGAAACTCTCCATCACTGAGATAGGAACACTACAGACGTGAAGCGTAACATACCAGCCAACCTGTCGAGAGAGGACAGAGACAACAGTTAATGCAGGTTCCCAGCTGTCGAGGTGTGAAGGAGCAAGATGGAGCATGCGTGCAAGGAGTTGCCTGGGCGCACAGGCTGTGGGGTAGAGAAAACAGGACACCAGTACTACCTGGGATTTATCTACAACACAGGAACAGGCCTAGCCAGCAGTGCAGCAACTTCACTACCCAACCTTGCCTGCCAAGAGCGAGGAAACACAACAGGGAAGGAGGCAAGATGGACAACATCAGGGGAAGATAAATTAGCCAAGGAAAGGCAGGTACCGCAGCCCCTTCAGTTTCCTCTTTCTCTATCTGCCGGAAGACATGCTTCCTGGTTCGGGAGAAGTCCTGGAACTGGAAGATCCTGGCATAATCCCTGGGGAGATTCTCTTTGGGATCCCAAGGAGAAGTCCGGAAACTCTTGAGCCCCCTGTACTTCTGGAACCTGGAGGACAGAGTTTCAGAGACTTTACTCAACAAATCCTATAGCAGTTAGCAAGCAAACACCCTTCCGCCTGGTGAGGACTTCTGCATTATACCTTTACAGGGACTTACACCACACGTGGTCTCACAGAGAGCAAGGGGGAATTCATCCTGCTCATAGGAGAGATCTGAGCATGGAGAGTCAAGAACACTCTGATGCCATCAGCACCCAAATGAGCCCCACCGAAGGGGACTGTCACTGCACCAGCCCCCTGGATCAGACAGGCACAGGTGAAGGATCTAGTCTGACGCATCCACCCACATGGGTTCTTGCTACAGGAAAACTCCACCAATTTCACTGAGCAAACTAGAGCATGCCGAGTCCCATTTCCCCGTTGCACACTGCCGGTCTCAAAGCCAGGACAACTCCGGGGAGAGTCACTAGGAGACTTGCTCCTTCCATCCTGGCATGAGGTTTCTTACCGGACTCTGGCAGGCAAGTTGCGGGGGGTGTCCATCTCATCTGGGAACATTTGATCCAATCTCTCCTGCGTGTACTTCTCCAACATCTGCTCCTCATCCTCATCCAGCTTCTCGTCGTATAGGTCATCCTGAGTAGACTCTGCTACAGCCATGGTCTCACACTCCTCCTCTACAAGCTCCTCCTCCTCCTCACTGCTTTCCCCAGCCTGACACAGACAGCATATACTAATCTTGATGTGCAGAGTCCACAGGCAAGTGTACTTACACACACACTCCAGGCAACACTGCAGGGGCTGCATGCAT